AAAAAAAAAAAAAGTATATAGGAAGAGATGATGCAGTGTCTAGTGTAACTAACACAGTGGGCTGAAAATAGGAGCCATTCTTAGGAATCTCCCATGGGCACTAAAAGAAGGTCTTCCCTGTAGGGTACAGCGTGAGCATAGCCACATGCAAGCACAGACACAGGCCCATGTCTACATTTATTTTAATACATTTTTCCTTTATGTTAGAGCACGTGCACACGTGTGTGAGAGGGGCAGCGAGGAGATGAACACGTCCCAGCGGCTTTGTCAGGCTGCGATCCCCTTTCTCCAGTCCTCCAGCCCGTCAGATCTTCGGCACGCAGGGGCTTGCCCAGAATGTTTCACGCTGACTAGGCTGGGGATTTGAACTGTGGTCACCAGGTGGGATCCAGCTTCCCTTGAACACAATAAATTGGGTTTCATTTTTCCATGGTGAATTATATGTCATGTCAATTGTATCTCAATAAAAAAGTTTTAAAGCAGAGTGGCCAGCAGGTGGTGTAGTGGTTAAGGTGCTGGACTCCCACATGACCATCAGTGGTTTGAGTCCCAGACCCAGTGGCTTGAAATTCATGCTTGAAACTCAAGCGCCTGTGCATGCTTGCCCGAGATCCTGAGAGGAGAAGGGATTATGGTGTGGACAACCCCCCTGGGGGATTTCTCACTTTCTGTCTCTCTGTCTCTGTCTCTCTGGTGAGTGTATATACCTGATAGCAAAAATCTCTCTATCACTCTCTCTTACACACACACACACACACACACACACGGACACACACAATTTTTAAAAAAAACATTTTAAGGCACAAATTACCTCTGTGCCACAGAGCTGGCCCAACACGCTTATATAAGAATACATAAGTGTTATTAACTGCTTTAAAATCCTTGTGCATGGGCCATCCCGTGGCCTGGTGGTTAGGATGGCAGGATCCCACATCACGAATGTGGTTTGAGTCCTGGATCATGATAAAGGGAATTCCTTCCCCTTTTGAACCCTGAAGGGCAGCCCTGGGCTGCAGGGCACCTCCAGTCAGAGCCAGCCAGTCACCTGCTGCAAATTCAGCGGTGCTGGGACTCCTGCCTATTCTGTCACCGTGTGACAAGCCCCGATGAGCTCCCCAGCCTGTGCTGTGGGGACTGAGGGAGAGGTTTATTTATACCCAGCCTAGAGTGCAAAGGAGTACATGGTCCCTGGGCAGCATGACATGGCAACTGGGACTCCTGAGCGATCGCCCCTGAAAGGGGGCCCTCGTGGCAGGAGGTGGGCCTCTGAGAGGAGAGTCTCCCTTTGAGGTCAGTCTCAGAGATCGCGAGTGTTCGTATGGAACTTTCCTTACAGCTTTGCTATCATATTCTCTCTCATATTACTCATATTTTACAAATGACCCATTAATAATTGAGAAAGATGTTGCCTCCTATTACTGTCAAATTCACCTAATTTACCAAAAATTGCTAGCAATTTTTCCCTGGTGCAATTTCTTGTGGGATCTGGTGAAGCATATATATA